AATTACTTATGAATATTTGTAAAACATAAAATCACAATTATGAAAAGTGAAACGTATGACTTGCACTTAGGTTAGCTGCAGCCTCTAAAACATTGAGTTATTTCAGTCTGGGAAATTACAAAAACGCGGAACGAATTGCAGTGTTTGGTTTCAGGCAAATTTAATTATTCGCTATCTATTTTTCCTATAAAGACAGTTTTCTCTCATTTATTCATGCCTAAGCTTTAATGAATTCGGGGAAAAAATATCTACAAAGATTTAAGTGAGATCGAATGTTGTATCCATGGAAACTGTCACATCTATCTAACCCTTACTAAATGAAACTTGAAACTTTGTATTCGAATTTAAACCCAAATGAAATGTCGAAAACATTTCAAAAATCATGTGACCTATATGTGCATTTTAATTCACGTATTCATTGCTTTTAGTAGTGTTTAAGAAGTTATGTGTTTGCCATCACAAATGCTACAACCATGTAAGGTATAAATGTATTAGAAAATAATAATGCGAACGTGCTTTGGTATTTTTAAAATAGACCCATCTTGTTATGTGCGATATGAAATAATTTAAGACTTAATGTCTTATATATCGAATATAAGCTTTAGGTATCAAATATAATCACACTTGTTTTAAAATTACTTGATCCATGAACAACATACGCTGACGCATATGGCTTTGAACGCTACATCAACCGCAGTCAGGCAGAGATGGGGTGAGAGAGTGAGTTTAGGTTTACGCCGCTTTTTGCAACATTCCAGCAATATCACAGCGAGGGACAGCAGAAATGGGCTTCACACATTGTACATATGTGGGGAATCGAACCCGGGTCTTCGGCGTGAGTATCAGATGCTTTGACCACCAGGCTACCTTACCGCGCAATAGATAGGTTTAATTTACTTCACGTCCAACCATAACTGCCCTGGGCAGAGAGATATCCTGGTAGTTAGTTGAAATATTCGCACATCACCCAAAGACCCAGATTTAAACCATCACATGGGTACAATGTGTAAAGCTTTGTTTAGGTGTCCCAGTCGTGATACTTCTGAACTACTTATAAAACCAGCGTAAAACGAAACTAGCTCGCTCACAACCACACTGTTCTTCATTATCTATTTTTGATAAGTGACAAGTGAAGATCCGGATTAGAATATTGATCTTCAGTAACCCATGCTTGTCGTAAGAGGCGACTAACGGGATCGGGTGGTCAGGCTCGCTGACTTAGTTGACACATGTCATCGGATCCCAATTGCCCAGATCGATGCTCATGTTGTTGATCACTGGATTGTCTGGTCCAGATTCCATTATTTACAGACCGCCGCCAAACAGCTGGAATATTGCTGAGTGCGGCGTAAAACTAAACTCACTCACTCACTCACTTACAACAAATAGGTTAGATAACAAGTGTCATGAGTGCGGCGTTAAACAACAATCTAACAAACAAACAAACACAATTTATTTCCACTCATTCAGTTGCTTCAATTAACATATTTGGAAACTTCACCCTGTATAAATATGTAAGTATTTGTTGCATGTAACTATTCAGGTTCGTCAGTTGTTTAACTGGTATACTGTGTGAGCCATCTTTTTCAACGCGTCTCAATCTGTAATTTGCAGACTTTGAAGCAGGTTTCTGCAGACACAAAGTTTTGATGAACAGCACTGCTTTGGGCAATCAAGTTCAGCAGCTTAAGTACAAAATGGATTCATCAGAAACTCGGTTTTAAGAAACCGATAGCATGTAGCCAATGACATCGCTAGAGGTGAGGTGAGGTGAGGTGAAATTGGGTTTAACGTCGTGCTTGAGAATATTTCGCTCATATGACGACGTGCATGCGTGTGGATGTGTATGTGCGGCTGCTTGTACTAGCCCAGACTGAAGCTGGTTTTAGAGAGCTAGCCCACTGAGATACCATACCGCAGTGAAGCATGAATACCCCACTCAGACACATTATACTGACTCCGAGCCGACCAGTCCTTGTTGTACCCACTAATGCCGAGCGCCAGGCAGGGACCAACAAGTACCATATTTTAACGTCTTTTGGTATGACGCGGTCGGGGATCGAACCCGCGACCTTCCGCTCTCCGGGCGGATGCTCTAACCACTACACCACGGATGCGGTCTGACATCGCTTGAATTCAAGTTCAATGAGTTGACGATCTGAAATCGTTTGCATGAAGGTAATCTGCAGGCTCGGTGACCACGTGTTATAGCACTGGCAGAAGTGAAAGCATCATCGACAGACACAAAAGGTGCTCAGAGCGACGAAACTAGTGGAATCGCCAATTGTCTCTTGAAATAATTCGAGTCAGGATTCACTCTCCACTTTCGGAAAAAATTGGAACGTGTCCGAAGATCCTGAGGAAAGTCAGGCAACATGTCATGACAGTTTGGCCGGGAGGGTTGAGAGTCTATAACGATGCTTCGGGGTCATGCAAAACGCCACTGCATATTGTTCATGGAAGAGTCACAGGAGAGTACTTCCGAGACAACATACTGGCGCCAGATGTTCTGTCATTTGCGACATGTGTGATAAAGCTTGATAAAGTCTTAAGTATGCTAACAATCTTTCATACTGTACACGTGTCGTATCTGAACACCTGCAGCAGCAAAACATCATTAAAACGAGAGTAGGACTGGGACATTTGGAGACGTCAAAGGTTACCGCTACATTAGCCGAACACGGCCAGGTGCTGCATGAAGAGTGGAAAAGATCCCCTCAAATTGCTGATTCGAGCCATGTCATGTATGAACGAACAGTTGAGTAATCGTGATAGCTTGACCCAGTATTGAACAAGCCATGTCAAACGTTCCAATTGTGACGGCACTACCTTCCCTGTCTTCTTTCTGGGTTTACAAGACACCACCAACATGTTCTGTTGATTGTCGTGTTACACATAATTATTCCATTTTCATCCATCCATTACCATCACCATATACTTCTTTGCATTTCTATAATAATTTCCCCTTTCAAATATCCCCTTCATTTTGAAAGAATATTGTCTCTGGGTTGTGTGATCTAGATTCGATTAAGCAGAGGCATTTGTCATCTGACTTCAATATTGCTTTCACCGACGGCAATGACACAAGCAGAATCACAGCTGTGGTAAGGGCAATTGTAATCCACAAAAGTGTGTCAGCGGTAAAGTGTAGTGACTTATACAATTATTATGTCGACACCACTATACTATCTCCTTTGAGTGATCGCCAAGTCAGCATAGGCGGAATCTGATAGCCCTACGAAACACATCAGAAACGTAAGCCATTGCTAGTTCCAGGATGAAGAAAGTCTCTTCGCTCATTTATATTATATTTTAATCATGATAATCTTACTGTATTTGTTAAAACATGTGCATTTTAGAGACAGGATGTTAACGTAATATAAGCTCAAAATAACAAGAAAAAAAGAGGAAAAAACAATTCGACATTGCGTTCTGTATCAATCTCTACGTGGTTTAACCTTTGAAGCCTTTCTCAACACAAACCCTGATCCAATGACACGTGTTATCTAACCTATTTGTTGTAAGAGAGTGAGTGAGTGAGTTTAGTTTTACGCCGCACTCAGCAATATTCCAGCTGAACTGCAGATGTACTTAGAACACCCCCCTGAGGTGTAGTGATCAGTGTTATACATTGTCCAGATTATTATTATTATTATTATTATTATTATTATTATTATGACTATTGGACTGTTGATATTCGTTCAGTCCTATCAATGTATTGTTGTCAGTCCGGGCTTCCAAGCACAGATATAAATATGAAATAGAGGAGAATGCTTTTCTTGTTTCTTCCATTAAATTCAAGGTTAGCTGAGGATCACGACTTTAAAATGTAATAATCAAATTGCGTGCCTCTGTTGAAATGTTGGTTCTATGATTGTCAGAACACGAACTTCAGTGCAAACGAACAATATGTGACCAATCTTCTGTCACATCCCCTGTCAAGATGAGAGTTACTCACCAAACCTGAACCGTCAAGAAAAAATCAATCAATCGTCAAAACAACTACCCTCAGTAGCGAATGTGATCAAACTGATTCAAGCCAGACTTCCATTGTCGCCTCACCATCGTTAAACGTCACATCGCCAACATTTCAAGCATATTGTACAGATAGATGATAACAGTAGTGGCGTGTAGTTGGAAGAGAGGTTTTCATCACGTTGGCCTGTTATGCGTGTGCAACACATGTTATTGATTAATTGGAACCCGTGAAGACCCGGGTTAGAATTGGTCTTCAGCAACCCATGCTTCTCTCGCCAGAGGCGACTAACGGGATCGGGTGGTCAGGCTCGCTGGTTGACACAAGTCATCGTATCCCAATTGCGCAGATTCATGTTCATGCTGTTGATCACTGGGTTGTCTGGTCCACACTCGATTATTTACAGACCGCCGCCATATAGTTGGAATATTCTGAGACGGCGTTGAACAGCAAACCAATCAACCAATTATTTGGAAGAAAGCATAGATCTATGGGGCAGAGCCATTTTAGTGGTGATATCCTCAATCATATGAATGAATTATATTTAAATTACAAGAACGACCAGGAGTTTCAGCATGACGATAGGTCATAAACACATGACATATTACAGTTAATTCGTTGCTTAAATGTTTAGTGATACATTCTAGGTATGTTTCCTAAAACATACCTAGAATAACTACTACTTCCATCAAAAGTTTAGACTCACTTAGACTGACTGACTGAGTTTGGTTTTACGCCGCTTTTAGCGATATTCCAGCAATATCACGGCGGGGCACACCAGAAATGGGCTTCACTCATTGTACCCATGTGGGGATTCGAACCCGGGTCTTCGGCGTGACGAGCCAACGCTTTAACCACTAGACTACCCCGCCGTTCCAGACTCACCAGAACAGTTGCCTGAAGTAAGTGGCAATATTTACACTAGTGAGTCTAAACTTTTGATGGGTAGTATAGATCTAAAGACAGACAGAAAGACAGACACAGACACAAACGCAAAAGCAGACAGACAGACGTAGAATCTCACCAGCGTCGACGAAGCAAGTCAGCGTCAACACGACGATGAAGACTACGAAGACGACGGACATTCTTCTCTTCCACAAACCGACCGGAATGGTGATCAACCATCAGTTTGGTCTGCAATTCAAAATTGAAACTAAGTACAACCAACACGGACGTTACACACACTGCGGAACAAGGGCATGAAGCTTCCGACTTCTGATTGGTTAACAACGATGAGACTTACAGAACGGAAGTAATTCCACAATGGGGTAAATTATTAACTTTTCTCGGCCACAAATGCAATAACTGTTAGGATATATGGCCAAGGTAATTACACCTCGTAAAACACACAGTTTCAGTGACAACCACAAGTTAGTTGTCATAGAAACTGATTATTCTTTGATGACTCTGGATGATTCTCGGTTTCAAAAGAAACTCCAACATAATAAATAATTATCTCTGACAGCTAATATTGTCTATGTCTTTGCTGATTCTGAAAACACAGGTCTTGGCGCAAACGTGTAAACAAATACAGAAAGAAGGCTTTGTGATGTAATAATTTATACATTCTTAACTCTTTCCTGATAACCGCCGTGATATTGCTGGAATATTGCTAAAAGCGGACTAAAACCAAACTCACTCACTCACTCACTAACTCACTCACTCACTTTCCTGAAATTGAAAGTATGTACAAGTAAAAACACGGTTTAGTGTTGGTTGTGCTAAGAATCATTTCAAACAGTTGTGTGATAAATCAAGAAAAGGAAAAAAAGAAAGTACCTGAAGAGCTCGACATCGTGAACATTTCTGAGCCGTCCCTATCAATTGTCCTCGTTGTGTCCTTATAGACTGCTAAGACGTGACCATAGCACTCCTTATCTTCACTCACCGTGCTGCACACATACACTGTCAGCTGTGATTCAGCCACAAAGAACAGAGGCTATCAATAATGTACACCGATATGCGCGGTATTTGACACTCGTTTGTTTGGCCGACGTACTGCTCTTCTTTCCCTTGGCATTTTTCACCCGTCTTCTTTCAGCAAAACGTGATCAATATCCTCCTCATTCTTACGGAATACATTTACACAAAAGAAACCTGTTTCTGCTTCCTTTTTTAGTGTGCACCATTTTAGGTTTGGTTTAAATTTCAGATTAGGTCGTTGTTCTACGTATTATGCGCGTTCTGGTATATGTGATAATACGTTTCAGTATTTCTGATGCTGTATCACTGCTTTGTACATTTACCCTTGTACGGAAGTGAAACCAGAACTTCTCATGGTGAAATGTCGACTATTTAATTCATGATGGTGAAGGCGTTTGAGAATGTTTCTTAAATTCAGAACCCCTGATCATAACAAAAAAAACTGATACTCACATAAGGAATGCTAAAACTGACAGAAAATACCCACTACACAAATCATATGACATAGGCGATGAATTTCCATTTTACTAGGAAACAACGGTTTCATAAATATAATCATATTCAACACACATGTTCAAAATGATATTTGCTCATAACCGAAGGCTAGGATCATTACGGGAACTATCTAAACGTTGATTTCGTAAAATATTCATGATATGAAATTAGTATGGAATAAATATTTCATAGATGCATAAACAAAATTCCAGAATTTGTTTTTATCTGATTCAGTTGTTCAGAAAAAAATCTTCATGACATTTTAATATTGTTTCGAAGTAAATACATTTTTGTACAATCGATGCTGGAATTGTAATCAAATGTCGCCACAAGGGGCCTGAATGTAAATAAAGTTTAATTCCGATAATGCTATCATCGCCGGTCTTTCGAAAGATCAATTATGATGGATGTTTTTTGATAGACTTGGTGCAGTTATTCCGATGCATTATTATGAATAGCAATAAACCCAGAATGTGTTTCCATAGCAGCACGGCCAAACCCGTGGAGTATGCTCACATGTTAACCGAAATAGCAGACTTCTCCTGAGATTCGAATCTTATCAAAATACAGATGATTGACAGAGAGACGTTTACCAAGCAATCACTCCCTGTAAGCGATGTATTGTAACCATATAAAACCCATGGTGTCACTTTGCTACATGGGTCATATAAAAACACTTTCTGGGCGAACTAACACATTTATCGACCACAAATCAATATTTTTTCAACGTAAATATTTTGGCAAAAAGGTATCAGGAAGGTATATATAACTGAGGTTAATCTTTCGGATGTTTACGGTGTTTCATGGGCTCACAGAAAATAATTCAAGTCACGTGTTCAGGTTCCATATTAGTCGTGAGGACCGAGATCGGGTTATTCAGAAAAGTATGACCTCTTAAATAAACTGAGACTTTCGAATGAAGAACTTAATAAAAACACCGTCTTCTCAGATCTAATTTAACTTTCCAAATAATCGATAAAATGGTCCAACACGTTTTCTCTGTGGCGGCAGAATATGGATAAAATCATATATACAGATATGTGCATCATTAAACACTACACACCCTTGACGCTTGATATAAGTATTTCACATGGATAGCGCATGCACATATATAAATATATATATATATAAATAGAGAGAGAGAGAGAGAGAGAGAGAGAGAGAAAGAAGATAGATATAGATATATTTGATAGATAGACAGAAAAAGATAGGCGGACGGACAGACAGATAGATGTAGTAAGAAAATAGACATAGATATATTTGATAGATAGAAACTAGATAGACGAACAGGTAGATAGATAGATAGATAGATAAGATAGATAGATAGATAGATAGATAGATAGATAGATAGATAGATAGATAGATAGATAGATAGATAGATAGATAGATAGATAGATAGATAGATATAGAAAGAAAATATAATACATATACACATGGGGCAAGATAGCCTACACGGGTTTATTTTTTGCATTTGCAGATTGGAAAAAGTGTTGTTAAAATTCGATTATGTCCATTTAACCAGTACATTCCTGTTGGTGAAGAGTAAACGGTGGCTGGGTAATTTTGTGTAAAAATGAACTGATTGAATGAAAACGGCGGTAAAAAATACTGAATTAGAAACTGCCATGTTTCACATGTATTTTTACCGAACAAAGAACATGTATTGATTTTTCAAGGATAACATGTCTAAGATACCCACCGGCAACTGTTTATGGCGCGAATGCATTTTTTATGAATTTATATAAGATTGAAATTAAATTATACTATGAAATATTTAACCTTATAGAGTACTGACTTAAGCGCTATTAATGTTCATTATTATGTATGCAAATGTATGCAAATCACGTACATTGTGCGTGATAAAACCAATAAGAGGTATCGTTTCTTTTGCTGATCAGTTTAGATTCTAAGTTTGTGATATCGACAAACGGTGTATGATGCAAGCTGGGAATAGTTCGGCAATGTCGAGTCAAAACTGGAATTGGTAGACGGCTTGGTATGTGTTTTGGAAACGTTACATTCCTCTACACAATGCGGGGGCGTATTTGCCATTAGATAAATAACGTCAGTCAGTATACACCGGTCTCCTATTTCGTAGTCATAAGAAATGCATGGACGATCCCCCTTGTATCGTGAGCAGGTGATTAAATGATGAAGCCATTTTTACTAGAGTGAGTGAATGAGTTTAGTTTTACGCCGCACTCAGCAGTATTACGGCTATATGGTGGCGGTCTGTAAATAATGGAGTCTGGACCAGACAATCCAGTGATCAACAGCATGAGCATCGATCTGCGCTATTGGGGACCGATGACATGTGTCAACCGAACCAGCGAGCCTGACCACCCGATCTCGAGAGTCGCCTCTTACGACAAGCATTGGTTACTGAAGATCAATTATAACCCGGATCTTCTCGGGTCATTTGTACAAGAAAAAGAGAGAGTATGACACACATACAGCGCCAATACATCACAATACAGGGACATTTAATGTCTGTATCTCTGTATATCATGTCCACTAAAATGCCCAACGTAACTACTGAAGGGTAACACATATAAACTACATTGCTATGCTACATTGCTAAAGAAAGATATCACTTTGAAAATAATTATTTATAAAAAAATACAACAAAAAACGCCGGTACAAGTTTGAGCCCAAGCAGAAAACATTCGTCAAAACGCAACATGGTCCCGGTAACAACCCAGCTGTCCGAATGCGTCGTAGCAATCGTGCATTTTCAAAACGTGAAAAACGTGATTTTGGGACATTGGTTCAAATGCACGTGCATGATTGTGGCATAAATACCGGTGTTGGACACGGCAAGCATGCAGCGATCAAAAAGATCCACCACGAATATGCCAAGACTAACGCAAGTGCAACGAGACAGGGCGGCCGATATGGCCAATATGGGGACTTCACAACTTCAGCTGGAAAGAAACTTCAACTGCAGCCAGGCCACCATCAGAAATTGATAAACCTCTACGAGCAAACAGGCCAGACCCAAGACCGCCCCAAATCGGGAAGACCAAGAGTCACGACACCAGCCGAAGACCGATACATCCGATAGTTCCACCTCCGGAAAAAGATTCTTGACGGCGACGTCAACGGCGGCGACAGCACTAGGACCCGCCGTCAGCAGACGAACAGTCCTTCAACGACTTGGTATGGCTGGTATACGAGCCCACCGCCACTTCCGTGGAATGGCCTTGACCCGTCTACACTGTGAACACAAACTGCAATGGGCACGAATTATACGTCGATGGCAGTGACGTGAGAGGGCCCTTTACCGATGAAAGTCGGTTCAGTCAGTTCAGAAACAAAGGAAGAGTTGGAGTTTTTCGAGGTAGAGGTTAGCGACCGGCGCCAAACTGCGTTCAAGAAGTTCATCCGTTCGATGGAGGAGGAGTCATGGTATGGGGCGACATTTGTAGCCAGAGAACAACAAGACTGGTTATCACCCAAGGATATCTGAATGCCGAGCGATACAGGGGTGAAGTCATGAGAACTTTTGTGGTCTTCTTTAGCACAAAGAGGAGTCATTTTGGAGCACGACAACGCAAGGCCTCACACCGCCAGAATTGTTCGAGAATACCCGCACAACGTTAACGTCAACGTATTGCCTTAACCAGCACGTTCTCCAAATATTAACCTCCTGAACATTTCTAGGGATCATCTTGATCGTCAGCTGCGACAGCGTGTATCACCTTCAGTGAACCGAC